AAACCGAAGCCAAACAAAACAAAAAAAAAAATAAATAAATAACAAAAATTTCAAAGAGCCTGGCAAATGTCAAGAGCTAAGACCTGCCTTCGGATTATTTAAATATAAATTAAAAATCACTCACACGCACAATTGCCACAGTTAGGAGCAGCAGTAACAGCAGCAGCTGCAGCTGTGTCTGCACTTGGCAACTGCGGGCGCTTTGAATAAATAAATTCGGCTTGCAACATATGCTAGATATACTAAAGGATCTCTAGAGTCATATATAGTTATATATGTTTTTTTTATTTTATTTATTTATTTATTAATGGTCGACAAAACGAGTGTCTTCCTCATTATTCAATAGAATATACAATAGAATTTTATGCTAAAAGCCTAGTTAAAGGATACAATTTTCTAAATAGCATCACCGACCGATGGAGGTGTTTTATTTGCCAGTCCGGCCAGCTGTGCCCCTTTTCACAGCTAATTTTGTCAGTGACGCTATTAGAGCCTACATCTAAGCAGAAGGTTGTAAGTAGGAAAAAAGTGTTTTCAAGTAGCATTAAAATAATCTTAATTTGCTATATTAGTAAAGAAAATACAATAAATAGGAAAAATGAAAGTAAGAAGAATTGTTAATAAAGTAAAGCAATGTAAGTTAGATAAAGAGTGTTAAGTAGATAGGACAGAGAGAAAAGTAATGGGAAATCACCGACCCGGTGGGGGAAAATTTTTCAGCCTGTCCGGCAAGCTATGCCCCTGCTCATAGCTGGGAATGGTCAGCGACTTCCCGAAGGTATCCTGAAAGCAACGATTTTATTAGGGGTAGAGACAGTTCGGTAGAGAAAACGTGATGCAAACTATTATAATTTTTACATAGCACGCGAAAAGGATTGTGCATAGCGTAGTCTGTTGTGCACGTAGATAGTAAAAAGGGGCGATAATTTCTGGTTGGTCTAGCCGGAACAGAGAATTGAAGACGCCCTAGCAGAAAAGGAGAATCTATGTCGCCAATAATCAACTTATGTAGAAGGACAACACCGAGAATTGTCCTACGGTTGGTTAACGACGGAAGGTTGAGAAGAAGCAGTCTGCTGGAGTAGGATGGCAACCGAAGATTAGGGTCCCAATTTAAACCTCGTAAGGCAAAAAGCAGAAATTGCTTCTGAACAGATTCAATACGATCCTGGCTGTTGTTATACTGTGGAGACCAAATGCAAGAGCAGTATTCAAGGATAGGGCGAACAAGAGAGATGTACAGAAGTTTTGTTATAAAAGGATCGTTAAACTCTTTAGACCATCGTTTAATGAATCCAAGTACACCTTTTGCCTCATTAACGATGGTATCTATGTGAAGATTGAAACAGAGTTTAGAATCAAAAATTACGCCTAGATCCTTAACTCTTAGTATACGTTGCAAAGGGATATTGTCGATTGTATAACTGACAAGATAAGGTGTAGTACGATTAAAAGTCATAAACATACACTTTGAACAGTTTAGATGCAATTGATTGGCCGAACACCATAGTTGCATAGCGTTCAAATCGTCTTGTAGACGAGAATGATGTAGGGGATTAGTGTATGATAGAAAAAGTTTGACATCGTCCGCATACATGAGTACACGGGCATGTGATATGACAGAGGGGAGATCATTTATAAAAAGGGTAAAGAGTAAAGGTCCAAGATGACTACCTTGAGGAACACCAGAAGTAACGTGAACCCGTTTAGAGGTAGTCAGCCTCAGCATTACTCTTTGGGTCCTACCTTTTAAATAAGAATTAATCCAAAGCAGAAGAGACAGGGGGAAACCTATTCGGTCAAGTTTAAAAAGTAAAATGTCATGGTGCACAGAGTCAAACGCCTTACTGAAGTCAGTGTAAATGACATCAGTTTGCATTTTCGAAAGGAAAGCATCGTTTACCAAGGAAGTAAACTCAAGCAGATTGGTCGTAGTTGACCGATTCTTTACGAATCCGTGTTGAACAGGGGAAACAACTGATTTGCAGAAATGCTGCAAATTCGAAGTGATTATTTTTTCAAATAATTTAGGAATAGCGGACAGTTTTGCAATGCCCCTGTAATTTTGTATATCAGACTTCCCACCTTTCTTGTGAAGAGGAATGATATAAGATTCTTTCCAAAGAGATGGAAAGACAGAAGTTTCAAGGGATAGATTAAAAAGCTTTAGCAATGGATAAAGAAGGGAAGAACTACACTCCTTGAGAAGACAACTAGGAATATTGTCCGGCCCAGGAGAGTAAGAAGACTTTAAAGAGTTTATAGCTAATAGGAGAGAGGAGTGTGAAATAATTAGAGGAGGTATATAACTTGCGGAAGAAATAGTATAAGGGTAAGCATTAGTATTAGGACAGACGGAAGAGTAAGTTGATTGGAAAAAATTAGCAAACAGGTTAGCAGAATCAGTGTCATTGCTAGCTTTATCCAAGCCAAGAAAAAAAGAAGATGGCAAACTTGAAGATTTACGCTTCAAGTTTACAAAATTATAAAACTGTCTCGGATTTCGGGAAAATTGTCTTTTACAACGTATTAGATAATTCTCATAGCATTGAGAATTAAGAAGAAAGAAGTTCGACTTGGCTATGGAATATTTAGCCAAGTCTGTACACGAACCAGACTTTTTAAACTTTTTAAAATATTTGGATTTTACATTTTTTAGATGTGATAATCTGGTAGTAAACCAGGGTGGTTTTGAAAAAGTAGTCGAAGGAATTGACTTAGGAATACACACATCTAAGAGGGAGATTAGGGTGATGTAAAAAAAATTAATAGCTGTATTCATATCAACTGAGTCATATAAGAAAGACCAATCGGTTGAATAAATAAGCTGATTCAGCAAAGAATAATTTCCTTTGCGAAAGCAATAGCGGGGCTTATTGGCTGATGAGCACGAAATGAGAGGATTACAATTTAGCATTGCAATCTCTAAAGTTGGATGATAGACATCCTCAGGAAGAGATAAAGGAGGGGACCTAGACACATTAGAAATAAGGTAGTCGTTAACAAATACAAGGTCAAGTGTTCTAGTCAAATGATTAGAAATTGAATTGATTTGAAACAACGAAAGATCAAGCATGCAGTCTATAAAATCGTGCTGTGCTGAGGGCACTAGATAATTTTTGGCAGTAAATAATGACCAAGAGATGTTGGGCAAATTAAAATCACCCAACACCATAAATAGGTCACTATCACGCACGTGTGAAGAAACTTCTTTAATACAAGTAATATGTTTCATATAAACTTGAATATCAGAAGAAGGTGGGACATAAGAGCATGTTACATAGACATTCCGTGTAGGAAAAGACACCTTAACTGAGACAATCTCAGCGTCAGTAGGCGTACTAAAACAGAAAAGTTCAGACTGGAGAGTGGCTTTAACGGCAATTAACACCCCACCACCTCGAGTCGGCCGATCATTTCGATACAAACTAAAGTTATTTGATAAAATCTCAAAATCAGATATGGTTGAGTTCAACCATGTTTCTGAAAATGCTATTATATCCGAATTGAAGGAAGTGCTGGCCATGAATAGATTTTTAAGTTTTGAAATAAGACCTCTAACATTCTGATAATGAATAAAGATTTGGTCAGAAGATGAAGCTAGTTTTTTGGGGCAGAAATGGTACCCTGTATTGAAGGGACTGGAAGGGTGACAGGCTGGTTACGCTTTTTAGGCTTGAACTCGTGAACAATCATGTGTGGAGGCCAAAATTTGGGATCACAAATGATTGGGAACATATCATGTGAAACATTTATTTTGAATGATGATATTTCACGAGGGGTGGAGAAATTAAATTTAGTTATTGACACGCTAGCAGAAGATTTGCTAGCAATATAGGCTGCCAATGACTCAGAAGTGGTGTCCGACGAAAGTCGAGACACAAAGACTTGCCTACGAGGGGCAACTACCGTTAAAGTAGGCGCTGGTGGGGCTGTAGGTAATACAGGGGTTGGGGGAGCTAGCGAGGCACAATGATTGTTTTTAACAATCTGGGCAAGATTGCGCGCAGGTCTACCTTTGCGGCCAGGAGCTGATGGGGCTGAGGCAGTTTGATTAATTGGGACGGGATCAGGTACGGGCTCTACTGGGACTAGTACAGGGGTTGAAACAGGGGTAATTGGACAGTCGCTTGGAGAAGGCGATAAAGACAACATTGGAGATACCTCCAAGTTGCTAGGAAGGGACAAGAAAGTAGTAGGTGTCTGAACAGACGTAGAGGGCAATTGCAAAAGTTGAGGCTCCAACCGGCGATTGGTTGGGGACTCAAATTTATATTTGCCAAGCAGCTCGAAACTCGAGTCAAAATTACTCGAGAGCTGCTTAGCCACATTATTTAATTTTAAGAATTGACTTCTCACAGAATTATACATTCTAGAGAAATCAATTTGCTTGTCGATGCATTCTGGGCACGACCAACGCAAGCCACCACAGCCCTTCTTGGCAATAGCAGCGATCTTGTCGCAATCACGCCCAGTGAGACCTGCACATTTAGCATGCATCATATTCTCACACAGCCAGCAATTAACAAATTGCGGCAGTGCAGAATCATCAGCCTGCTTGAACGTGCACGGTTTCTTACAGCACAACATAATTATTTAATGCGTATGCAAATTGCGAGAGCACAGAGCAAAACGAAAACGGTGCACAAGATAGAGCAAGTAAATACACAAACAAATTGTTTGGAGCAAAAAGCAATAGAAAAAGTTTGCGAGAGCGCGATGCACAAGCAGAAAGTATGCAGCGAACACACGCACAAACAAGTGTATGCACAGGGGAGCACCAAAGCAAAAGAATCAAAACAGGCAATAACAACAACACGGAGCTGATGCCGCGTTTTATAAAATGTAATAATTAACAGACTTACGCTGCACAACAGATAACACTTTGCACAGTTTATTAAAGCTTCTTAAATAAAGCACCGAAAAATGCAAAATTTTGAAATAAAAAGCAGGATAAAAGCGCAAAAATATATAAAAATCTTGGAGCACAAGTAAAACACGTCAATCACTCTCAACTGAGAACTCTCTCGAGTATAAATCAATTAAAGCTATGAAGCCTGCCAAACCAAAACCAATTTTCTAACAATTTCCAACCAGCTTGAAACAATAAATTTTGTTGGCTGTGCACACTCTTCTCTGTGTGTGTTCACTGCATATATTGACTTTTAATTTGTCTGTGCTAAAGGTAACTGTTGTCCACAGCAGCTGCCACAAGTTATTTTATGCTTGTTATGGCTCCATAGAGCTCCCTTATTTTATTATGCCCGCTGGATAACAAAATAGTTGGCAGTTAGTCGTTGCTTTTCATTCGCACTCTTTAACCATTTTTTAGTTCACACCGTGTCATTTTATCCATTGGGAATTGACTTGATTATTCATTAGCTTCAAATACAAAATATTTGATGTGGATAGGCAAGAGATTTTCACCAGTTGAATATCTCAACTTGCGCATCAGTTGAATATTTCAACTTGCAGCATCGCGTAGTTGGGTCTCGATTGGCTTAGTTTATAACATGATCTTTAAAATATCTAGACTATTTTGAGGATTCCTATATATAACTTCCTTCAGTGCAACAACCCTTTTAATATCTAGACTATAATGAAGAGTATGTTGAATGAATGTCTTAATATTTAAAGCCCAAGCTATATTACACTTTGCCTTACCCATCCGTAAACTTACTATATCGATAATATTCAATATTATCGGAAACTGCTTTCCTCGAATTTATTAGGACCAACAGACTTATTTATCCTCTCACTTTGATTATGCGTGGTGAACAGATAATTTCTAGAAAAAGACCCTTCAATCTTGTATTCAATATTTCTCGAAAGTTGCCAATTCAATTCGCACCTTAATCTCTTGATATATCCTTAATTTCCTGAAAATCCGCCGCTTCCCATTTTCTGACGAATTGACCTTCGTATTTCCCACGGAACGTATTTCCCTATGAATTTTTCATTTACGTCAATTGTATTGAACGAGCATTCTACGTTGCTTCTGCCAAGCACGAAAAAAGAAAAAGTTTAATAATTTTTAGCTTTGTGAGAAGCCTTTGTCAAACGTACTATATCAAATCGGCATTTTAGTTTTTATAAGTCATTCTCTGCTTCAAACATTTGCCAATTGGCAAACAAAATCCACATAAATCAAATTCAAAGCCAAAGAAAACAGTTTTTTATTTTCATTTTTTTTTTATTTTAGAAATTGAACCTGCAAGCCCTGCAATCCCTTGGTGCTCTTAAAACTTGTTCCCTTGGCCGCTTTACAAAATTGCCATCGTCAACGTCTGATTCTAACCCCTCTCTCCCTCCCACCCTCTCACTTGCTCTCTCTCTCTCTCCCTCCCACCCTCTCACTCGCTCTCTCACTCTCTCTCTCTCCCTGTCTGCCTGTCTTTCTTGCCCGCTACTTGTCACTCTATACCTGCGCTTGCTCTGGCACAAACACGTAATCGAATAATCCAATTTGTTTGCGCAAAAACTGAAACTTTTTCGTCGTAGGGCTTCAATTGACGACGTAGCTTCAGCTAGTTCTCCTCCCTCGACCTCCTCGTTGCCAAACCTGCCTAACATTTGCCAAGCAATTATTTAAGTATCTGGTGAACCTTGCCGGGTTTTACATTTGATATTAGGCACAAACGATTGACTATTTTATTGAATTTGAATTTTATGTCAAATGATGTAATTGCTGTCTTTTGTTTTGTTTATCAGTTAAAGTTTCCTATAAATTCCTGACTGAACTCTTTAAGTTTTGCATTTTCTACACACCGTTCGGCCTTATAATTAACAAACTGTCCTTTTCGAGCTTTACCACACCACCTGCAGCGCCACTTTTCAACCGCTTCAATGGACATCCTACTGTTGCATTGGCCAACAGTTGTCGACATTTTGTTGTTAGTTTTTGCCTGTTTGCCAAGCGTTCACACATGATACGTGCCCACACACACCCAAACCCGCACACAAACACATCGGGCGCGTACACACACCTTTGCCAGCATTTTGTGTAACATGTGTTGCAATGTGTTTCATTGGTTTTGATGCCCTGTACTTTTCGAAAGTGGGTAAATGTATATAATTATCTTTAAGTATAAAATAGTTTGTCCCTAATGACTGAAGGAAGTTAAAGTTTCAATTGTAATTACCTGGTAATGCACGCTCAAACGGGTTCTTGTAACATTCCACCTGCATTTGTGGAAAAATAACGGAAAACGGTTATATAAAAACCTTTTAGTTCACCACAAACGTTTCTTTAAAGAACTTTGTTCAAGTTCATTCGAAAGGTGTCTCCACACTTTGCAACACTTTTGCAAAACCCCGACTCCTCTATAGATATGGGCGATACATGGCGGATAAAATTTCGGGCTCAAACTGATTTCCAACAATTTTTATGAGTATGCCCTCAAACTGGTAACAGGGTATTTTCGAATCGAGCATTCTAAACCCTATATTTTTTGTGTTTGCTGCATGTCAACAAACAAGCTGCAGCATTTACTTCGTTTCTCCTCTCGGCTGCCTATATCGCTATCTTTTTGTCGATGGCATTGACAGTTGTGCTCTTTGAGCTTCATGCTGCTAGGCTCAAGGTAGCACTCAAAGGCTATTGAGATATGTAATCCTTATTTTTATTACACACCAAGACAGAGATTGATATGTGCACACAGATCTAGAGGTAGGGAGAACTAGCGTAAGTGCATCCAAAGCCGACAAAGCGCCTGCAAGTTGCATGCAACAAACTGAAATGTGGCAGCACTGTGCGTGCGCCGGAAGCCATTGCGGGTTAAGCACGCACCACCAGCAGGAAGCACCACTGACAGTCAAGGAAGGAATTCAGAGGAAGGGGCGGGGCTAGCGACGGAAACGCGCGACGCGACATTTTATGACAGGTTGTGACTGCACTGGCAAACCAAAAAAAAAAAAAAAAAAAAAAAAGACCGCAGAAGACATCAACTACTTGTGTGGTAAATGGGCAAAGCAAAGGGAGGTCGTACGGTTGATTTTGGCCTGTCGGGAATTAGGAATGCATTGTCTGAGCACAGCTCAGCGCAGTTTTGTAGTTCATTTCTCAGTTTGCTCAGTGCACTACAATTCCAAGTACCTAAATCCACTCTTTGGCTCGAGCGCGGGTAGGGTGCAGGGTGCGGGATGTAGGGCGGGGGTGCATCACACTTGAGGGGCTTCTGACTGAGGACTGTCGTTTTTCAGCCTGGCCCAAACCAACCCTTTGGCCCTCAACATCTTGGCCAACAAATTAGCGCATGCATTTTTTTGTTGTTGTTATCTGGCAGCACATTCAGTTTGGTTTGCGGCGTACAACCGGCAACAGTGACGGGTTTTTCCACGGGCTGCCACAATTTTGTTCTTGCCACTTACCACTTGCAACATCTACAACAATACAGACTGCAATTTATGTCTTGCCAAAGTGAAAATTTTCTTGCCGAAACTTGCACACGCAAATTGAGTTTCTTTCACAACTAACTTTGTGGGTGTGCACGAGTGTGCACGCGTGTGTGTGTGTGCCAGTGTCAAAAGACCGCCTTGACTTGTCGTGACAATAGCAAACAGCTGACAAAACATGAACTACTTAGAATCCATGCTGTGGTAAGCAAATTTAATAATAAAACTCTTCTATTATCCACGGCTAAGAACTAAATCCAATTACGTAACCTAATTGTGTACTATTTGGAAACATTTGTTAAATTTGCTACCGGTGCCAGTTTACAGAGTTATATATTTTTCTGAATAATTTATAAGCCATAAATTAACCATAAATAAAAAAACTAGGCAATAATAGAAATTGCATTTGAAAAAGCTTTGGAAAAAGTTTGCATACAATAATTTTGCACCGTGTAATTACGTTAATTTAATTTATTAATTAATTATATATTCAATCATAGCAAAAATATGCGCATTTTAAATAAGTTAAAAAAATGCCTAAACTACAAAATTTTATCTGAACACTGAATTCTGGCAGCCGCACAAAATGTATCCCATAAATGTAGCCCAAAGGCAGCCAGGCCTTGATCCCTTGCCTCTCCCTGTAACTGTCCAACTGGGGGCTTAGAGAAACTCCATTATGACAATTTTCAAGTACCTAACTTAGCTTGGGGCTTGGGGCTTAGGGATGGAAGCGCCTGCGCCTCAAGCGCCTCAAAACAAAACTTTTGCGACTTTATGAAAAATAATTTGTTGCACGTTACGCTCACTGCCGCTGACCTCAACAGCTGAGCAACATTCTAATCTAAAAGCAGACGACATTTTTTTTTTATACTTACAAAATATTTTCAACAAATATTTTACTTTGCTCAGGGGAGAAATTAGGAGAAAGCAGAGTCCTTCTGCTAAAGCCGCGTTAAAATGTGTTCTCTACATTTCGGAGCTGAAAAAAAAACCTTCAGCAACCGATTTTTTTTCGTTCGTTCGCTTTGGCAAATATTTGCGCACATCATTTCTCATTGCCCACGTTCCTATTGGGTTTGCTCTCCAATTGCCAGGGCTCAAATGCCTTGGAAGGAAATCACATTAATGGCAGCCGTGCGAAATTTTGTTTTTTTTTTTTTTTGAGTCCCCATAAAGTATTTACAACATTTTGGCCGCTGAGATGAGGACACACACACACGGACAAACGGGGCCAATTAAAGCGTAATGCATGGCAATGCCAAGTCGTTAACTTGGCCAACGTGCAACGCCGCCATCTTTATTTTATGTGTCATGCGGCATGCAAAATGCATGCAGCAAAGTGTCAGTAAACCAAAAAGTCGGTTTGTTACGTAAGGCTTCTTTTAATACCCTACACAAATTAGAACAAGGCAAAAAAAAAGTATATACAAAAGTATATCAGAATTTTTAAGAGGTAGTTTGGTATTTTGGCTATTTGGGAATAACCTACACCGATTAAATTCATTTCAGATTTTTTAATTATTACAAAAAACTACATCCACAAGTTTATAGCTCGACAAATATATGATGTATGCATTTTACAGGGTACATTTTAGTCTTCCTTGCTCATTTAAAGTCAACTTGTTAGCATTCGAGCATCATAACCGCTTGCACACATTGCACTCTTTTGTCTTCTATGCAACAGTATATGTATATGTGTAAGTGTGTGTGTAATTTATGTAGGTCTCGCGCCAAAAAGCGGACTACAAATTACACAGAATCTCATAATTTGCGGCTGCCTGACGCTGACGGCTACGCCAGTTGTCCGTTGCGCTCTGACTAAGTGTGTGTATGTGTGGGTGGTATCTTTTTTGTGCTTCAGTTTCTGGCAGCAAATTTTTGACAATCGACCTTTAAGCTTAACTCAGATGCAAAAGTTGTACTTAAACACTTTTGATGACTTTTCGTTTGGCAAGTCCAATTAATTTGCGTCTCTTGTTAACAAAGCTTCTTGAAATGCAGCAAGCAGTGGAAAACTAAGAAAGCAGCTCAAATATACCATGAAGTTTGCACGTACTAGAGCGAACGATTACAGCTTATAAATATTATTTACCTTGCGGTTTAATATTGTTTTTTTATTTTTATAAGCTTTGTTTCATTTTAAAAATTTCAATCTTAAAGCAGCCAGCTTGTTATTGAATTAATGTTATTAAAACGACTAAGCTTTGTTATTCCGCAAACGAAATTCTACCAATAAGGAATAAAAAACTAAAAGCAATATTAAATTTGATAGCAACGTTAAAAATTGAGAAAATATTGGAAAAGAAAACTAGAAAGAAATGAAAAGAAAATTTATAACAAAAAGAAAACTAGTTGATAAATGAAGTCGACTTTTGTTTTGAGATGATGTTTTACATTGAAGTTAAAAGAATTGATACGATATAAAGGTAAATCAAAGTAGGTCCGATTGAACAATGCTACAGGCTATGCTACACGGAAATTGCAATCATATTCTTGTAAAGCTATGTAAAATTAATTTAAAATTGATATTAAACATTTTAAAACATGCAAATCTGTGCAATTACTTAATTAACTGTCGCATGCTTTAAGGTTTATCGGATATTTGGTAATAGTTTTTATATTCATACAAAATGACGGCGAAAACTACTTTGCCTGGCATTTTGGGTTTTCACATTTTCATTTTTTTCCCTCCTTCCTGTGAATGGCATGAAAAGCATTTTACACATGGCAGCATTTTTTAATTTTGCAGCGCAGCTTTTAGAAATACACACGCATGCACAAGCACACACGCGCACACTCCATGCACTCGCACACACAAATGCACTTACTAATTAGAAATAAAAATGCGCGCTACACATTTGCTCATTACGCTGTTTGTGTTGTTGTAGTTGTTGTTGTTGTGCTGGTTGCTTTGCTTTCTTTATTTTTTGGATTTTTTATTTTCATTTTTCATGCCATTTCCCACACTGAATGCTGCTCCACTATAATGCTGCGCCCATATCGTACGGTGGCTTCGCCTGGGTCTCAAAATAATATACTCCCATACGCTGCGCCAGCTGCTCCATTGATAACTCGCCCAAATCGCCGCCCATGTGCAGCCGTTGGCCCGTGGGCTCTGGACAGCGCTTGTAGCGCGTCAACTGCTGCCATTCACTGGGCTGACAACCCTTGGCCTCGAAGGCCATCTTTTCTAGGCTCTCCTTGAAGAGGGCAAAGGCACGCCAATGGCTGCACTCGTGCCAGAAGCAGCCCGGCTGCTGGCTGCCCCAATTGGCATAGAAGTCCACGTGGCCCAGTGGACGATCAAATCCATAGCTGCCCACGCTCGTGTGCAATACCTCCACATAGTCCGCATCGCTGCGACTCAGTCGCTCCTTCTCCTGGGCATAGCGAAAAAACGGCAAAGCTGGATCCAAGGCGCGTATCACACGCACGCGGCCCGTTTGCAAATGTTTTGAGGCCAGACCAGCCACATGGGCACCCATGCTGAAGCCAATCAGCTGCAGATCCTCAAACCGCATGCCCGCCTCCTCGTGCAGAAAGTCCAGAAACTTGGCCAGCACCTGACCCACAGGCTTCACCCTATAGCTAGCCGTTATATAGTCGGCAATGGCGCCACGGCCCCAGTCCACGGTGAAAATATTGTAGTTGCCGTCGCCGAGGGTCATGTAGGCGGGGACCAAATAGCTGTAGACATTGGCATGTGCATTGCCCAACCAGCCGTGTATTATGATGCTGTAAGAGGGCGGGGAGAGGGATAAAAGAGAAGTTTTGTATAGATGATCATATTAATACTGCATTCAATTGGAGACTTTTCTACTCTAAGAAAACGAATCTAAATAATGAAATCCATGTTAAAATTAATTATGGTTAATAGTTGTATATATTTCATAAACTTTGTAATTATTAACTAGAAACTACCAGTTTTTGGTTATAACGAATAGCCAGCCATGTATTTTGATGCTGTGAGTAAGAAGAGAGCAGTTGGTATAGATGATTCATATTAATTTCGCATTTAATCGGAGAATTTTGTACTATAAGAGAACTAATCTAAATAATGAAAATCATATTAGAAATCGATGTGCTAATAGAGAACGGAATTTACTATGGTTAATAATTGTTGTATATATTTCATATTATTTGTGTTTATTTATATTTATTTTATATATTTTTATTTATATTTATATATTTTGCAGTTAGAGAAAAGTGTTAGCTGATTGTTGGCCATAAATAAAAATATCGAAGTAAACGTCATATTTATAGAGAAAAGATACAGACATAAAATGAAATATCTGATGAATCTTTATGGGTGCTATTTTTCAATGAACATTTTAATATATGGCTGAGTCTATGAAGCACGTGTAGTGCAGAGAAGAGGTGGTACGTGACCACCGCTCCACGGGGAATACTTGCGAATTCAAGGCAATTTATCGCAGAGCACAAATTGTGCAACAAACATTTCCTACTGAATCATTCATAACTTACCGCGTCGGTTGGAATGGGTTGAAGCGCGATTGTCGCAGGGAGGCGGCATCATAGAGCCGCACCGTTTGCGTAGTGGTCATCTCCATGGAAGTATTCTTAACGTCATCGTCATTCGGATTCAGGCCAAAGGCGGCGCTCAGCGTGTTGCCAACGACCTGCTGCAACAGTCGATTGCCACTCGATGGCGGCGGTCTATTTGTACCACGCTCATTGCTCGAGTGCAGCTGAAAGTATGTCTGCCGCTCGGCATTGTACAGTAAATTGTAGTCCTGTAATCGTAATAGTTGCTCATCGCCAGCCGCATTGTTGGTGTTGTTGCCAGAATTATGCTTTTCCGATATTGGCAGCGCGTCGGGGCTCATTAAGCCCCCGCTGCTGCTGCTGATGTCCTGATTTGATGTCCTCTCAATTTGTATGTCCGGCCTGTCCTTGTTCTGGTAATTTCCATTGGGCTGCAGTCGTATCGCCTCCAATACTGCTTTTACCTCCTCATCTTCTTCTGCTGTTGTTGCCCTCATCATGGCACTTTCCACTTCATTTGTCACTTTTACTTGCACTGCGGGTATTTGCCGCACCTCCTCCTGCAGCTCGACCTCATCCTCCCCCAACACCCGCAATTGATTGTTGTCTGCATCGACCTGCTGTGCACTGTAATCAGCATTCGAGTAGTTGAAATCCTCAATCCTCCTATCGTATACATTCCTAATTCTGCCCATAGATTTTGCCTCATGCAGCTTGGCTGCAATGTGCCACAAGCAAACTGGCAAAATGAAAGTGCATTAGACAAACCTGGAGCAATTTTCATGGACGCACAAACTACATCTGCACCTCCTGATCAAAGATATATAATCACCTGACTGGCAAATAAACAACAATCCAAGCAGCTGCATTTTGATTATTTTTTGCGTACTTGTTGAAATACCTTTTACGTACTTCACATACTCATTATTTTAGTCACTGTTTTTATCACTTAAGCACTTTAAAACTAGCTAACTGCACGGCCGAGCTCACATCTACAACTGACTGGCAACATTTTTTTCTGAGTTCTCAGTCGTAATTTACTGTAGAAGTTTTATTTGGGCTCTTTGCCAAACAAAAAAATAAAACATTATTAATATGCAGCATTTCACACTTTTTGCTTTAGTTGCAGGTTAATTTTTCATTCGTCTTTATACCCTAAGAGGGTTATTTAGTTTTGTGAACAAAGATCAACGACTGCGGTCTCATAAAAAATGTTTACATATTCTTGATGTAACTTTTTAATATATATGTACGTTTATTCATATGAATGTCTTTGTTATAAGCAAAGATCGCTCAAGAATTACTTCATTTGTTACAATATTTTGTTAGCAATGTTTTTTCCTAGCTTGGAAAGTTCAAGATCTTCCCATTTGGGCAAAATCTAATCAACCTCACATTGTTAATTGTTGATTAATTCTCTTCTTCAGATATCTTGACCACTTATAAGCTTCACACCAACAAGGTCCATAAATTAACCACATCTACAATATTTCTGCTAGGGTATTCGAACCTCGGCAACAAGCGCTTATTATTGATGACTTCTCCCGAAAAAAGAAATAAATAAGTAAAACGAAATACCGTTTACTCTCACCCGCCTCATTAGCTGTTAATCTGTTGAGTCAACAAAAGTTCAGTCTCCACATGCAATGTGCCACTGACCAAGTTTGGTTTTTGGCCTCCAGTACTTAGCACATTTTGGAGATATATTTTTGGGATAGGTCAATGTACGAACTGTCTGCTAACTAGCTATCAAAGCTTTCTTGTTGGTTGTGGGTGTTTTAGGTTTTCTTTGGAAGTAAATAATGTAAATGCGTTGAAAACTTATCCAATAATACTTGTTTAACTCATTTTTAGTCTAAAGAACATTAATTTAAATTAGCATAAAGAACATATATTTAAATTAGCCTCACTTATGAACTGAATGTTTGATCTGTCAATTTTGGAACTCGGTAAATTTATATAGTTGCAATTCCACAGTACAAAAATCATTTCAGTAACTCGCAAAAAGAAAATAAAACAAAATTTACGAACAGACAACAAAAAATAATTACAATTTAAGGAAAAATTACATAAAAAAAAAATATAGAAATGAAAACAACATTTTTGATTTATGTGTATTTATTTTTCCTGTTTGAACATGTCGCACATTGTATCTTGTATATGTTTTTATGTATGAAAAAAAAATATATATATATTTTGAATATTACATGTAAAAACACGAACTTGTCATAAAAAATATCAAAGCCTCATCCAGCATACGCTTGTCCTTTAGCCATATACTTGTTTAACAAACCATTTTGAACCTTATGCCTCATATGCGTATAAAATGTATTTTAATCAATTTTAATGTATTCTTTGATTATATTACAGGTAAGTTCACAACATGTCGGCATGCGATGGCAAAAAAGAAAAGGAAAAGTAAAAGAAAGAAACAATATTAAAAGCTGAACCGGTCGCCATTTTAACGACGTGCATTTCCTGCGGCTGAATTGTGAAGGGTGGAAAAGCGGCTTAAAAGCGATGCCAATGAAGGGAACGAAGGAAAACAATATGCATTTTTACAATCGCTGATCGCATAAAAACAAAAAAAGTAAAAAACGTGACAAAAACAAAAAGAAATCGTGTAAAAGCGAATGTGCGCGCACCACCACCCACCACACTCCTTGAAAGGTAACAAAGCGTATGAAGTAACCAAAAATCGCGAGAAATCACCCTATGGTATTGCAGCTACCCATATTCTTCTTCCTTATTCTGTGTAAGGATCGATGAGTTTTCTCAAGTGCACACTTGACAATTTTGCTGCATAGATAACAAAATTTATTGAATATGTTGCGGAATATTCCTTTAACAGGGGCAACATTTTAATTTTTGAAGAGCGCATTCTCCCAACCACCACCGAGCCCCGCTCCTTTCTTTATAAGAGTTGATTGCTGATGGCTCAGCACAATGAGATAGGCTGCAAGTTCAATGTACAATCTTTTTTGAGGTATTCGAGTTAGAGATGAGCGCGTGGTATTTATTTTTTTTTTTCCAATAAGATGTTATACAACAGAAAATTTTTATTTTATAGGGCATTACTTATTATATATGATATATGTATAATATTATTTAACATATTATTTAAGCCAAGATAAATATATGAGGGTTTTTAACGAATCTTCAGTGTAGTTCCAAGAATACATGCCCCTTACAAAATTCACAATTTCAAGGTTATGTTAATGTTATTTTAATATTTGCTTCGTTGTGGTAACATATAATATTGGGAGTCATGTATTAAGATTGGTATTGTAGTTATGGACATATGTTTTATACCCGAATGATATAATAATTAGCCACGGCACTTATTGATCTCAAAGTCCATATAAGCTCGTGTAGCATGACTAAACCCCAATATTTTTTTTTTCACATTTCAATATGTTTTATTTGTGCGCTGGAGTCGACCAGTGCCTTCTGATCTCTACCAAGCGAATAGTTATTTATAATAAAGTATATTTACTATTTGGTAACTTATATTATATTTACAAGGATGTTATAGACAGTGATGGTGTTTAAGTAATAGGTAGGTAGGTCGTCGGGGTGCAGCCTTCGAAGGCGCCTCACTGTGATGGGGTCAGCCAGGACCCTGGCGGCCGCGTTCGTGTGCTGCAGGAGCTCTACCAAGAAAATTGATGAAGTATTGATCTTCATTTTTGTTATATACACTTGTGAAAAGGCAATCTTAAAAGTACAACTAAACATCGAAGTTATTTGGAGATATTTTGTTCAGTAACTGGTGCTAAGATACGAAGAAGCACACTTGTATAGTACTTAGTCGTGTCACGCGGTTAGCCCCAATACGATGATTGGTGGTGCATCTGTTGCTGTTGCAGCATGCACTGTTGCCAGCAGAAGTTGTTGTTGTAATGCAACACTCAGACAGGATTTGCGGCAAACAATACGCGTTCGCCATAATCGATTAAAAAACGGCTGAAAAGGAACAACAACAGGCAACGGCAACAAGAGACTGAGTGCCGGAGGGCTAAGAACTCTAGCTGAAACTGGGAGCTGGGGTTTAGCGCTCGCTTTGTTTGCTTTTTGCTTATGCTTTGTATGGCTGCAAGCTCAAAAATGTCACTCGAGTGACTTTTATTACATTGCGCCTCATGTCCCACACCCCTCACACAAACACACACACACACACCCCACCAAGTTTATGAGTATGCTTGGGCCTAACCTCATACACTGCTGGACTATTTGCCCGCAAAATACTTGAGCCGATGCTTGGTGTCAGCATTTACCAGACAAGTGCCTCCGCATGGCACTACGACAGCAGGAGGCGCGGTTGGATTTCGGGTCTTCCACTATGCGACTGAAGCATTTCTCGAGCACCACTTCACTTTTGCATCCTGCGACTTTGAGCAGGATGCGTTTATGCTCGCAATGCGTCAACTTGCCTTGGCGCTTAGCTGAGTCAGCTATTGCCTGCTATTTGTTGTGCCAAGTGGAAAATATGTAAACAATAAGCTCCATATAAAAATTGAGGAGCATCAGTTGGGCCAAATCTGTAACAGAATTTGTTTACCCATGTTATTAACACGCTTTTAGTCATTAAATTGACTGCTATTGAGTTGAATTCTGTTTTTCAAAGGATTTGATATGACAACATTCTTGTGAAAGCAGGCATACAAAACTATCAATACTTTATGTTCGCTAACCAAGTCCGAGATGGTATCACATCTTACAAAGCTTCCTTTCATGTCATATTTCTAATTATAAATTTAATAGTCTTCTGAATTGTATATTTTTTTGCTTGATATTAACTAAATTTGTAGCTTTAAAATCTTGCTTCAGCTTTAATATTATTTGAATGCTTTTTAGTTCAGGTCTACAAATGGGAAATGATCACATTTCCAGAGGTGCTTCAATTTGGGAAAAAATATAATTTCTGGACTTCCATACCTGCATACAACACATAAAATGTGTTTTATTTTTCAATTACAATAATAATCAACTTTACTTGGTTTCAAAAGCGTACTAAGCATACCTTCGATTATATTTGCAAGTACTTTTGAGTACTCATTTCTAATTTTAGACTCGCTATTAATTTTTACATGACTGTAAACCGCTTGCACTGCCTTATATCATGTAAACTGCTTGATGACTGTACATTTAGCCAAGCTCGACTCCTTTTATAGCAACCAGATCCTTTTACAGACAGGACTCAAAACGTCAAGCAGTTGCTGCAAGCTTTGCCAAAGCTTTATAGCTATAATAAGCACATCATAAATTTCAAAACAGTTGAGCTTAAAGCTCTATGCAGCGGGAATGCGCTTTTGTATTCTGCTGTGGCCATTCGTCATTTGTCACATTTGTCGAAGCTTTTGCATTTGTGTCGCTCGACTGACCCACTTCAAATTCGCCAAAGTGGCCAAATAATATTTTTGACAGCTTTCGACAGGCATACAAAAACTTTTCGTTAGCACAAAACAACCCTTTTGAATAATTGTGGCTCGTTAGTTGCTGCCTCGGGCCGTATTAAATTCAATTACATGTCGTCAGGATTTGACTCGTGGCAGCAAAACCCACTCAAAGAAGTAAAAGTCTATTATTTTTTTATTATTAGTTTTTTAGCAAACGGCCGCTCAGAATGTCGCCCAGCCAACTACTTATAAATAAATAATGATTAAGCTGACTGCGAGGGTTCAAGGGTTAGTTAACTAGTGTATCCTTATGCCAGACAAGTCCTTTAGCCATGCTATCGTGTGTGTGTGTGCCTGTGAGTGTGGATCTGTGTATATTTCTTCCTGTCTGCTTAGCGCCCTCAGGCTTAGCGCATAGCACATCCTGCTGCTGGTTTGCATGTCAATGAGCTGCTGCTGCCGCTTCCCCTGGCTAAATGTCCTTGCTGCGGTAAACACACTCATATACACACACGCACAGCTTATTTACTTTTGTAATTTGAGCCACTTTGGTGCCACGCCCACGTCCC